AGGCCTAATGTTTTCCATCAGTTTAATGAACACTGCCAAATAACTTCTATTTACCTGTGTATCAGTAAAGAGGAAAACTGTATTTTTATTTTCAACACCGGCCAAGAAATATAATTTCTTCAAATCTTCATGGAAAGCAGCATAATCATAGCCTCTACATAATTCAATCTGTACACACTGATATCCACAAATACTAGCAGCTAATCTGAAATTATTAAATATTATAGTCAATATCATAGCCTCTACATAGTTCAATCTGTACACATTGATATCCACAAATACTAGCAGCTAATCTGAAATTATTAAATATTATAGTCAATATCATAGCCTCTACATAGTTCAATCTGTACACATTGATATCCACAAATACTAGCAGCTAATCTGAAATTATTAAATATTATAGTCAATATCATAGCCTCTACATAGTTCAATCTGTACACATTGATATCCACAAATACTAGCAGCTAATCTGAAACCATCAAAAAATATCATAAAATCATCTCTTTGCCATTTCAATCATTTTTAACCTCAACACTTTTTTGAAAATTTTGACCTTTGCTTAAGCAGCCAAAGCAGATTTGGTTACATCTTAATTAGGTGCCGGTAGTTAAGAAATAAAGTCTTCAACTGTGTCTGACATGGGGGTAAAAATTTCAGTATTGACCCATCACACATATGTGTAAAGCAACTGAATTCTTTTAACAAAAATGAAAAGACAAAAAATCTCTCTCACCTAGTCAAGGATTGTTTACCAGTACCACCAACACCAACTAATAAAGCATTACCACGTTCTTGTTCTATCATACGTACAATACGAGCTACATGTTCTATAGCATCTAAGAAAAATACTAGCTTCATTTCTTTAGATGACTGTAGGTTATAATCATCTAAATACTGAAACAGAAAATATATATCATGTTCAGGGAGAATTGAGAGCTGCAATTATGGGAGTTTTCATAAAATTGATATGTTAAGTACCGTTGTCCTTTCATTTCAGCCTCTATCTAATGGAGCCAGAGTCATTCAACAGTAAGAAACTTGCTCACTAAACACAAACATTTGGACATGGATATAGTTGTGCATCTATGCATA